CATGAGCTGCTTGATAGTTGAGTGCAAGTATTTTTGCATATAATTGACTGTTGGGCTGTTCTGGTGAATGGGTTTAAGATGCTGACCTTGTAATTACAACTCCCCTGGTGAGGGTCTAGTTGTGGGACCTTGTTACATGTCTTAATTATACTCAAAAATGATATATTTTTAGTATCAGGTTTTGTAATAATCAAATTAATAGCAGCAATGCTGCAGTGACTCCAATCTGTTCNNTTTCATAGGGGGGCTAATAATTTCGTGCTCATGTGTAGATAGTCACTTGGAAATAAGAATCATCAACTTTAGAATGAGCTGTTTTTATCTACAGAGGGAGCAGGTCCTCTTCTATGGAGTTGTAATATTTCTACAGTAGCCCAGAACGGACAAACCAAAAACTGGCTCTAGATAGGGCCTTTCAAGTTTCACAGCCCCCGTAGTTTTTACAACAATGCAATTTCATCACTAAGTGCTACTAAATCCTACACACACCTACCAACTGGACAAAGGACGTCCCGTGGGCAAACGTTAGCTCAGCTTGTTTCTCTGATAACTTAAGATCTAGACATCCGATGACTAACATCCTTCATCCGGTTCGAATCTAGAGTTAAAAAGCACCAAGGTCTAAACAGTGGATGGTAAAAATGTGGCTTCAAACTGGATAAAAAGTCAGTGTATGGCAGCTTCTGGCAGACACCCACAACACTGGCGCAGGCACAAAGGGGATATGACGCCATTGACAGGTGACTGGTGAAACGCAGCGTTACCTGAATAAAGTGACAGATTTCTCTGAGTTTGAACTTTGTTGGAAACATTTGGGATAATGGAAGTACACAGCTCAACTACATATACAACATAGCTCTAAAGTTTCTAGAAATTTTATTGCAGAGATGGTACATATTATAGCTCTCAGAAAAAGAAGCAATACAACACTATGAAAATACTTCAGCGTTAAAGTGCTCATTTTACAGTATGACCCCTTCCATTATGATACATTATTTAATTTATTTTACCATTATTGTTACTGACACATTAAAATGCAGCATTTGGAATAAATAAAGCTTTTCTTCAACCTACTTTATATATCTTTGGGCAGTATATCATATTTTATAAGATGATCAAAGATTTGTGTGTAAAATTTGAAATCTGCTAATTTATTATAGCTGTAAAAAAAAAAGTAAGTAAAAGTAAAAAAAAAATAAATAGTACAATATTTGAGAAAATATACTTTTCAACACTGGCAGTGTTTACAGACTCAGCCGTTGTGCTGGTTTTACTACTTTATCAGCCAAATACCTAGAATTCTTATAATGGAATGTGTGTATATGTTAAGCCGATAGCCCTATACAGCATATCATAGGCGGTACTGTTTTAAAATGGCGATTGCTGTGTGGGTTGACTGACAGCTAAGTCTCTATTACACAATAAGCCTGGGAGAGTGGAGCTGCAGGCAGAGAACTGTTGCAATTTGTCTTAAAAATGATTCACTAGTTGACTGGAAGTCACACACACACATAATGTTGGCAAAGTCACTACATACATTTTACTTTACCTTAACTTTATGTTTTTCATCAGGTGCTGATTTGTGCGCTCTTCTTTATTATGTAATTCAATCTGTGTGAGATGTGATCATGCTTTCATGATAAAAGATAAAAGTCTGGTGGCTGCATTGTGGACACCCTGAAGCCATGTAATCAAGTTTTGTCCAAGGTATGTAAACACAGCATTACAATAATCGAGACAGGACTTGATAAAAGCATGAATAACTCTTTCAAGATGATTGATAAAGTGAAAAAAAATCTGATTCTAGTGATATTTCTCAAGTGGAAAAAAATTTACTTGGTTAGCTTGTATATTATATTTAGAATTTACTTCTGTTTAAATTCACTTAAACAGAAGAAACGGCTATGGAAGTTTCTTCTTATAACAACATACCAACCTATTATTTCCTTGTTCTTTCATATCACACTTTCCCTTGTCTTTCCTGAAAAACAGTGTACTGTGCCTGTCTTAAACTCATTTGCTTACTCATGGTGTCTATGGTGTACCTGTATGCAAGTGTAAATGAATAAAATTCCAATTAACAATTTCATCCCGCCACTCTGATCAGGTCATACTACCTCTCTCTCTCTATTTCTATTGTCACACACACACACACACACACACACAAACACACACATACTGATTAGATAGATACATTTTTTGCATGGCCAACATCCTGGTTAGATAAAGGAAAAAAATTTAAAAAAAGGCAGCACCAAATGCTGTCTCATTGTGAGTGTTCATGTTCACTCATGTTCTTCCCACGTTTCCATGTCCTTATTCTCATGTTTCATCATGATGTCATTGCTCTGGTTCAGGCATATCGGTTTTATCCAAAGATTTCGAAGTAAACATGCTGGAAGAACTACACTGTAAAACCTGATGAGTTAGTTCAACTCAAACAATTTTAGGAAACCGATTGCCTTAAACTGTTTATTAATTAACATTAAAAATTGTTGGTAACTACTTTATTGTTAGGGTAAGGTAAATTTAGTTAGTGTGGCAATCCAGGTTGCTTTCTGTAAACACTGTCAGCACAGTTTGTGCTCTTTGACCTGTGCATTTCTCAGAATGGCAGACAGTTCAGGTAAATTGTGTCCCATTGTGTCAGTTCCTGGTTTCAAACTGCCCTTAATATTAAAAACAATAACATAAAATACTATGGTTTACTTGAGTATTTTATATTATTGTTTTTAGTATTAGGGCCTGGATTGTCATCCATCTTTGTAAAGGTGAATCTTAACTCACTTGCCTTTCCTCAGGTATCCTAAAAACAAACTCCCTGCTGAGCTATTTTTAGCTCTAGTGTGTGTGAAAGCCCTGAGCTTTGTTCAGTCATCCAGTTGCATGTTGTTTGATGGTTTAGTGTCTGAATTAATGTCTTTGTTTATTTGACAGACAGCTGACAGCAGAGAGAGCAAGATCCTGTCTCACACGTTGTTCAGATGCTGTAAAGACTAAAACAGGACACTGGATAAGGCGTCACCATGTGGTTTTTTGAACGTCAGTATCAGTGCTGGTATTTTATGTAGTGACATGCTGATATAGGTCAAGTATCTGAAGTTGGAAATTTGCATAGATGTTGAACATTTAACAATGTTGAGCAGTTTCATGCCACAATTGTAAATTTGGGGTATTTTTGTCATGTTGTGTAGGCCTGTAATACAGTAAATTCGACATTGCGGCACACTTATGCTCTCTTCTGAGCATCCCACTAAATAAATATAATTTTTAATAATATTTATTGAGCAACAAACAAACAAGTCACATTTTCATATTTCATTCACCGAAGAGCTACAACCTCAGGCTGAGCAAGAACAAAAGTACAAAAATGGCAAATAGAAAAAAAAACTAAAATACAATTACATAAATAAAAACAGGACTATCTGAAATTAATTTAAACATTTCTAGTAATGAAAATAACTTAAAGATCCCCTCCATACATATATGTAGATAGTCTTCTTGGAACAGTAATGTGTGTCTGATATGTTTGTTCAACAGAAAAAGTATAATTTTCACAATAAAATCCTTAAAATGTTGTTGAAGTTTTCCTGCTGGACACAAGATGTCTCCTACTTTACTGTGAAGTCCATTCTCAGTGGATATGCACTGCTGCGTTCAGGTAGAAGTTGCATACTGGACCACCATTAACTTCCAAACTATTTGTAGGCCCCGCCCCTTAAAAT